CTTGTCCTTTAGGATGTCCAGGCAGATGTTACCCTGAGTGTCCACGTTGGGGTGGTAGCAGAGCGTGAGGCACTTCACTGTGGGTGCATTGTCAGGGTAGCCACTGGGGAACTTTAGGGAGAGTTTATACCTCAGGTCTTCATAGACTGTACCAGCTGCTCCGTGGATGGTGCCTATCCACTTGAAAAGTTTGTCTGATTCTGGGAAGGCAGAGATTCCTTTGTCGCCAGACATCATGAGGGTCATCAGCTCCTGTTGTAGCCTCTTACCCACAGAACCCCGGGCTGCGCCCTCGCTGGGCTTGGCTCCTTTTCGGGGAGCTACGACACTGGCTGTGGCTGGGTCGCGGTTTTGGGAGGCCATTCGCATGGTGTTGACAGACAGGGTCTCGGAAGACTGGACGACAACTGCCCAAATATTTGTTCTTTTGACATATCATGGTACTTTCAATATTCTTTGCCAAACCCATAACTAATAATCATCAATTTTTCTCTGGTCTTCATTAATAAATGTCAAGATTTCAAATGCATAGGACCCAATCCGTGGATTGGGTCAGGCACATCTCAGTCCACAAAGCAGCGTTCTTGTTTCACAAGTCTTTAAAGAGGTCTTGAGTGGAAGAGTTAACCAACGTAATCTGTCTTTTGTTCTCTTGACAGCTCTTTCCATGAGCATCGATTGCGGATCCAAGCAAGATGAAATGTTTTCAACTTCAATATTTTTTCTGTTTATCATGATGTTAATTGTGAAGATTTTGGTCCTCTTCACATTAAATCATAATCAATAGTGAAGGCTGGAATCCTTGATGTTCACAGGCAAGTGCTTCAAGTCCTCCTCACTTTCAACAAGTAAGTTCTGTCATCTGCATATCTCAGTGTGTCAATAAGCCTTCTTCCAATCCTGATTCCACACCCTTCATGTAAGTCAGCTTCTTGGATTATTTGTTCAATGTACAAATTGAATATGCAGGCTGAGACAATACAACCATGCCCCCTCACACACATATATTATTTTTAATCATGAAGGATGCCCTAGTTCTATCTGTACAACTGCCTCTTGACAGCTTCCACATGGCCACCAATAAGTGTTCTGGAATTCTCAAAATTTTTAAATCATTTTATTGGGGGCTCATACAATTTTTATCACAATCCATGATCCTTTCAGGACCAATGATGAGAGTGATGATACCAGAAGGTGGAGGGAAGGTGGGGCGGAAAGGGGGAACCGATTATAAGTATCTACATATAACCTCCACCCTGGGGGATGGACAACAGAAAAGTGGGTGAAAGGA